GATTCACAAACTTTCAAGAAGCACTGTATATACACACACACAAAGAAAAACAAGTAGATAGAATAGAAAAAAAATAGAAAGCTACTGGGGTTTTTTTTTATAAAAAAAAGAAGTTAGGGGCGTTACATTTCCGACGAGTGCTTGCGGTGTTCGGCCAATCACAATGCACTGGGTCAGCTGGCTAATCAGAGCAGACTGCGCTTGTCGGAAGGAGGGACTTTGTAGAAAACGAAGCGTTTGAGAGAGGCGGGGCATAGGGGACCCACAATAATGTACAGTATTTGAAAAATAATGTGTTTTTTGAACATTAAAGCATGTCAACATATTCTGTTACAACAAATACACAAAATAATGATCTTTAAAATAGCATCATATGACCCCTTTAAGAAAAGAAGCTGTTAGTAAATGAATAGTGTGCAAGTCTAAAAGGGGCATTTTTTTTTTAAATAATAGAATTAGAATAGAGAGTGCTAGAGTTAGAGGGCCAAATAAAGATGGAAACAATGTGTTTTTAGCCAATACTTGAATATGGCTAAGGACTCAGCTGCTCGGATTGAGTTGGGCAGGTCATTCCACCAGGAGGGAACAGTTAAGAAAAAGTCCCTGAAAGTGATTTTGTGCCTTTGAGATGGCACAATAATATGCCACTCACTTGCAGAACGCAAGCTTCTAGAGGGAACATAACTCTGAAGTAATGAATTTATGTAAAGGGGCCAGAACCAGTGGTGGTTTTGTAGGCAAAAAAAGTAACTTTTTTTAGGTTTTCATATGTGTATATGTATATTGTGCAAATTAATTTAAGGGAGTTAACTACAACATCCCCACCCTCCCAAAAATAAACAAACAAAAAAACAACAACAACAACCTTGGTTTACCAAACTGTATGTGTGTGTGTGTAGCGGGAAGAGTGTGGAGTCAACCATCTCCACTTCAACAAAGACCAGTACAGCCCGCACACCTGGACGCTATTCCACCAACTCACAGGTAACACACACACAACTGCAGGGGATCCTCCAAAACCATCTCAAGTGATTTTTCTAGGCCAGTGACTGGTGAAGCTGTCAGTGGTCAATGCAGTCATCAGCTTGTTATTTCTTTGAACAGAAAGCACTTTAGCTCTGGCATTTTCTTATTCATGGATGAATACCGTCCCACATGACCCAATTTCCCATTCAGCCTTATTTTAAATGGTGCACTCAGCATTCTGCTCACCTCGCTATTCATGAATATAATCAGAAAGGTTTTCGATGCTGTATTCCAATTAGCCATTAGCCATAGTACAGTGCCGATAACTGTAGACAAAAAAGACAAAATAAATACCAAATACAAGTAAAACAAAACCAACCTCACGGATCGAATATTTCTACTGTATTATGAGTGATATAAGATACTAGATATAAAATAAGTTATCTGCATTACACTACCATTGATGCATAATACAATTTCTTTGTTTGCTTTCTTTGGACGCTGCTTTCCTTTTTTTGTTAGAAACTGAACATCGACCCCCTCTCTTTCTCTGTTGTCAGAGTCGTATTCGTAGGATGTGGAATGACACTGTCAGGAAGCAGTCAGAGTCATCTTTCATCACCGCTGATATGAACAGCTCAGCGTCTCTCAACAGAGGTAAAGCCAAACACACACACACACACACAAACACAAACATGCACCCATGTGTACACATGTACACAGTATTCATACACATACATATTGACAGAAACTGTACATACATAAACACACACACTCAAAACAGGTTGTTTGGATCTGAAAAATGGAACAGAAACCAGTGGTCATTTGACCCCTATAGGTTCATTCTGACCAATGAGATTAGCCATACACAGAAAAATAATATACCCTAAAAACAGAGATTATGTTTCTTCAACTATGGGCACTTATTTATTGCATGGATAATATTTTAGCATTTTAACACCTTGGCCTTCATCATTTATTTTTGCTTCTTAAATGCCTTACGTATAAAAGTATAAAAATTAAACTATAAAAGTATACGTTTGCAAAGTATAAAACTTTATTATTTTGCCCTTGTCCTTAAGCCAGACTTTTAATCTTAATTAATTCGTATTTTATATATCTCATAAAATATGAGTCATCGCATTTTAAAAACTATGAAAATCTAAGTAAAGAATTGCATAAAGATACAGTAAACCATTTCAATATTCATTTTATGTGACAGCTGTTCCTTCCTATCATAACCAATATTTTTACTACTAATAAACTTAGTAAAAGTGCACTAGTTTACCAAGGATACAAATTTGTCAGTGAAGAGCATGCTTGAATGTGACATGTGAAGAAAACAAAGATGAAAAGGTGAATATAAATAGAATACTTCTAGTGTGTGTCATTTCCAATCAAGCTCTAATTTTGTTGTTTTGAAAGAAAGAAAAAAAAAACAGAAAATGTTTGCGTGTGTGTTTAAGATATATAAAAACAGGATATATCAAAAGAAACGAGTCGATTGGTTTATTCCAAAAAGGTTGCAAATGTCATTTCCATCATCACAGTTAGTTACACCATAGAATGCTGTTTGTTAGTTATTGTTAGTAGACAAATGACAAACTAGCAAGTGTTTTAACAGTGCTCCCAAGGCCAAAAGTGCTCATAGATAAAGAATCGTATGAGTGTGTTTGTTTAATGAGAGAAAGAGAAAAAAAACCTGCTGAAAAATCTGGAACGCAACAGGAAAGCCCTCCAACTTTCTGACCCTGGAGTGCAAATGGATCAGACATCTGTGCATGTGCTCATGTTCTGCTCATTCTCAAACACTGCCTGCCTCTGTTATGTCCAAGCGCTAATATGATTTGCTCCTCCGAGCTCCTTTGTCTTCTCCGTCCTGTGTAAACAAGAATGTGAGCTTTTAAAAGTCTTCCAGCGACATCAGAGCTGAAGCCATGGAAAAACGCTCCCAATCAAGTCACACTGGCAGGACAAAATGTCAAACATCAACAGCTGTCCAACATAAACATCATCTATGCTGAGTTCTGCACTGATGTTACTCTCCACATGGGAGGTTTTACATTCCTGTCCACCCGAACTAACATGTTTAAAGCTGTTTAAACACAAGTTTACTGACTCCTTGTCTGCATCATTCTGTTTATTGTACATCTTTTTTTCTGTCTCTTTGTTGCTCCTTCCTTCTGTCTTCTCTCAACGTCCTGCCTCCATATCTGTCTTTCTTCCTTTCTCTCTTTCTGTCTCTGTTTGTGGGTGTTGTAGGTACCATGGCTAACCATATCATCTCCAATGCTTTGTTACGTCCTCATGGCACTAATCCTTATAACACACTACTGGGAGAGTCTGCTGTGTACAATAACCCTACTGCCAACATGTTCAACACGCAAGGTTTGCCTCTCACATACACATTTACAAACTTGAGCACTTTTTGGATGGTACTGTGAAATTTACATGACAAGGAGATGTGAGGCAAAATATTCACACTGCATTCACACTGTATTTCCATACAATGAAAGTTAATCAGCACAGACACCGTCAAGCTAAAATTTTGCTAACGTTTGTATTTTGTTTATATGACTGCTATAAGTTTTTAGTATTGTTTTTATTATTAATAAATCATTTGGATTTATATAAATTTTTATAAATATAAATTTTATATAAATGTATATTTAATTAAATATCTTACACACAAACATATGGTGTATTTCCAGAGTAATCAGT